TCTATTCATTTCTAATAAATATGCTCTTCTGTCCCAATTCTAAGGGGTGTGTAGTGTTACTGGTTCATGGAAAATTTACATGGTGGTTTTATTCGCGAAACTGCAACACAGCAAAAGCTGTTTAAATGTAAGGATTTAGCAAAAAGCTCACAAAGCCTTTCACAGATTGTGCAGTACACCGCCCCCTAGAGGAACATGTTTTATTTGTTAAGACTGAGTTTGACATTCAAACGTTTAATAAATTAATTTAACTAACTGGATTTACTAAGACATTAGTAAATGTATGTAGATTTCCATCACAACTTCAAAAGCTGTGTCTTGTTACTGGTTTCTAGAAGAATATTTTAATGTTGGTTTTAGTCACAGAATTATGAGAGAGCACATGCAATTGAAACAGAATTATTAAATTGTTTATTAAGCTGATTAACCAATACATCAATTAGTTATAAATTCAATTTTCGAGCTCGTTTTCAAAGGGCCCGTTTTGTTTCTTTAAAAACACTTTAATGTTTTGTAAGAGGGATCACACAAAATGCATGTTATTTTTTTAGTACTGTCCTGAGTAAGATATTTTGCATCAAAGATGTTTACATATAGTCCACAAGACAAAATAATAGCTGAATTATGTCAGAAGCTTCAGAAAGAACCTATATGTTTCCCATGTTACCTGGAGAGTTTTTCTGAAGAGTAGTAGTTTAACTGCTCAGGACAAATAAGGGACTCATGATCAACTATCAAAAATAATAATAATAATGGAATTTTTAAATTAAATTCAATAGCATATGTCCTGAATTACATATGAGGGTAAAGCCTGAATTGAAATGTTCATTTAGAAATCAGAAAGAAGACACACCATTTGAAGTTGAAATAGAAGACTGTAGTGATTTTAAATTAATTTATTAAAGGTTTAAATGTCAAACTCAGTCAAAACAACTGCAGTATCTTCCTCTAGGGGGCAGTAATACTGGAGACTCTTTGGAAGGTTTCGCAAGCTATTCTTGAATGTCAATAGCGTGACTTCTGCATCTCTTTGACAATGAAAACAACTGGAAAATGTTCTTTAAGAAATCTGTAACAAGACACAGCTTTTGAAGCCGAGGTAGAAGATTGTATTTATTTTAAACTAAATTATGTATTGGTTTAATTTTCTATAGTATGTGTTCTATTATAGTTCTGTGGCTAAAACCACCATTAAAATGTTTGTCTAATCTGTAACAAGACACCATTTGAAGTTGTGTAATAAAACTGTGTTAGAAATTAATTTATTCAAAATTAGATTTTCAAACTCAAGTCAAAACAACTGCAAAGCAACACTCTTTGCCAACTTTGTCTTAATAGTTGTATTTCAATAGCATGTTTTCTGTTATAGTTCTGTGACTAAAACCAATATAAAAATGTTCTTATAAAGACAGTAACAAGACACACACCATGAAGTTGATACAGAAGAGTGTATTTATTTTAAACAAATGTATTTAATGGTTTAAATTTCAATAGCATGTACTTCTTTGGTGTCATACTTCTGTGAATATAATGAACATTAAAATGTTTTCACAAGGACCTGGAGTCAGCCTACTGCATAACCACTGGATTATGGAATGATAATGATTTTTAATATTGTTTTTCTTTTATTAATATATTTATTAATAGTAATAATATAATAATAACCACTATCACATATCTTGTTTACAATATTTCTTATTTAAATTCAAGTGAGCGTTATAAGTGTTTGTCTTTATATTTTTAAAAGACCTTGGTTCACAAATTACTCTTGTTTTGTTCATTGTAAAACACATTCCGGTGGGGAAACATTAATCGTTTTATACTTTACATGTACTTTGTAGACGGTCGCTACCTGGCCTAGTAGCCCCTCGCTGCAGAACACAAGATCCATGGGGCGTGGTTGGATCCACATCTAGGGGGTGGAGATGGGTGGGTTTAGGGATCAGGGGGTGGAGACGGGTAGGTTTAGGTGTATGTAAGGTGGGAGGAGTTGAATCTAGATCCAACCTCGCCCCCTGGATATTGTGTTCTGCAGTGAGGACCATCACCACCTGGGGTGGGAGTGGACACTTACAATAATGTGATCAAAATATCCACCATTGAAGAAAATAGCATAGCCTATGATGCTGGTCGCATGTTGTTGTGATAAACTACACTTGAATCTTTGAAGTGGATCAAAACCTTTCATCAAAGTTGTCCTAAAACCTAAAACCAAAATGTGTTCTTGTCTTAGGACAACTTTAAGGAACTTTTTGATCCACTTCAAATGTTGACTACTATATTTTGTAGTTGCAGGGGTTGTCCAGTTAGTAACATATTTGACAGAACTTTTGACAACATAAGAAAAATTAAAATATTTTCATAATTTTAAGAAGATTAAATTTAAACTCAATTAAAAAATATATTTTTCTTAAGTGTTACAATTAAAAAACATTTAATAAAGATAATGTTGACTGTAACATTTTTATTCATTAATTATTTAGAACTCGAACCCACTCATTAAAACAGACTGCAAAAACTGTAATTTATCGTGGGATTTGTGAGAGATTATAATATACCTAATATACCTTGTAGAACATCTACTATGCTTGGTAGCAATCAAATCATTTTGGAAAATCTAAATGTCATAGATTGTAATGTAATGTTGGCTGTAATTGGAATCCGAGCACGTCGTTTCATGCTGTCGTGAATGTCATTTGAGGAAAGTCATAATGAAATTATTAGTGTTAAAATGTTGATGTTTATTGGAGGTAATTGTGAATCTGTTATATCTCTATGAACATTTGACTCATATGCAGTTAACAAATAAATTTCTTTCAGGGTGGTAAGAGATGAGGTGATGAGTGTAGCAGCTGAGATACATGCACCCCCACCAGCCCTTCCCAAAGCTCGACCAATAAGCAACAGCCAGGACCAGAAGCTTGTTGAACAGCTGGCGGAGACCATCAAAGTGATCGGTGATAGACTCGATCAGGATAAAGCATTCAATGAGTCAGTCTGAGATTTGAATTTTTATTAAACATCAGTGTTGCTGTCTATACTGGGTTTAAAACACCAGGTTTCACTTTCTGTTCTTCTGACTTCACAGCATGATTGATGGCTTAGTAAAAGTGGCTGATAAGAGAAGTTTCTGGGAACTTGTGGAAAAGGTTTTCACAGATGGCCAGATCAACTGGGGGAGAATTATAGTGCTGTTCTATTCAGTTGGAAAACTGTCTGCAAAGGTATTGGATTAGTTAGATCCTGCATGTTTCTTTTGTCTTTTAAAAGGGGTCATGAACTGCCTTTTTTATTATTTTGTACTGTTCTCTGACATCCACTTATAATGTTATCAAGATTTTTACAACAAAAAACATAATTTAGCAGTAATAGGCTATTTTCTGTCCTGTTTTTAACCTCCCGATGCAAAGATTGTTTTACTACAACTTGGCACTGCACAGCGTCTTGTTGTCTTCGGAGCCATCTTTATTGCTTGGTTTCTGTGTAGACATGTGTTTGTCTCTTGTTATTTACACTACATGCGCGAATCGGTGGGCGGGGCTAAACAGGCAGTAATGTAGAAGCAGGCATTGATCTTCTGCGGAGGCGGAGTTTAGCCACACTTCGGCTTCAATATAAGCTGTTTTTAGACTAATGACAGAGTTCTGAGTTCTGAAACTTACAGGATGTTTTTATAGTACAATGACCTCGTATATATCAAAAGATCAAGGAAATTTTGATTTCTCAGTTCATGGCCCCTTTAAAATTTATGTTAATATGTCTGTTGTTTGTAGACATGCATCTTTATGCTTATATCTGTGCATATAACTTATACCTCTTTCCTCTCAATAGATGGTCCTTGCACGCTTACCCACAATTGTTTCCGACATTTTGACCTTGAGTCTGGATTACTTCAGGAGGACTCTGTTGGAATGGATTCGCAAAATGGGAGGATGGGTAAGAAACAATGAAGACACATTTTTACATTATTGTCTCAAATAGCCTACTGGAATATGAAGAAGCATTTGACTTTTGTTTTAATCTTGTTCTAATGTTGTTAGAAAGATGTGTTGAACAGTATTGATCACAATGTCATATCTATGACATTTCCTTTGTTTGTACCCCTTAATGCAGATGCACAGTATCCCTGCGCTGGCCTGTTTCTCCTTTGAGCAATTTTCTGGTTCTTTACTTAGTAAATATTCTTCCTATTTTGGAGCCGCATTGGCCTTCACTGGTGGCCTACTGCTAGGTGGCTTCATCGTCTCGAAATTTCCAAGAAATAGCTAAGAGGAAGAAAATGAAGATGTTGCAACAGAAGTGTCCATAATGTTGAACTTGAGCAAAACCATGTATATTATGTCTGCATTTTGTAATTTGCCCCCCTTTTTTATTGTAATATGCCTTTATTTTATATGTATTTATACTGTTTTGTAGAAAACACTGAATATGGTCATATTGATTTAAAGAAGGGTAGGCCTACATGTTTATTCAGGATCAGGACAGATTGTTGGGATAAAACTGAGCCTAAGCTTTTTACTGATAATTGACTCATGTACAATAGTGGTTTGTATAATCTGGCTTGTCCTCTCTTGTTCATTTAAATATTTTGCATTGAATGTGATTAAAGTCCCGATAATGTGTATGTGAATACGTTTTTTTTTTAAATGCATTTATAATATATATAGAAATATATTGCATGCATTTTTATGCCTGATGGTTCTGTAATAAAATATAAAATAGTAAAATATAGGCATTTGTACCGAGAGAGTTTTTTTTTTTTTAGCGTTTTTTCTGAGCTACATTATAGTTTGAGGATGGTTGCTAAATATAGATTTGTTTTGGGTGGAGAAATGCAAGGGAATTAAGCAAACCGCTCTTGTTTGTTTCGCTTTTATTTTCACTTAGCCTAGTGCGACGCTAGCAGCGAAAATGCGGAACTGACAACAATTTTATTATATCTGATTTGGAAAGCAAGACTTATTAACCAGTTAGGTCTGCGATATGTCTATACTATGGCACTGACGTAAAGGCAGAGGCCTCACATAGATAGTTTCATTGTGGTTTGTGAAGTGGCCATCAAATCAATAGGCCCAAGGGGGAAGAAAGAAAAAGCGTTCATGGAATTAGGTAGGATATATAACTTTACGAAACAGGCCTTTGTCATTATTTCTTAACGTGAGCTCTAGTATAAATGGCATCCAATGTAGTAACATTTTATTTTGTATCAATCTTTTAGATTACCAGTTTTCAGAGAATCTTGTACTTCGGTAAGTTTCACATACATATTTAAATCGTGCTTATAACTTAATAAATACTTAAAAAAAAAAATAAAATTTAACAATGAATACCCAAATAACCAATAAAGTAACTTAACAACCAGAGGCTGTTTACCTGGATGCCATGTTTTATTCGTTGTGGCATGTTCATGTTCATTGGCATTCACTTTGGGTAGCACTAATAAAGTAATAATCAGTACACGTCATTAGTATATCATTCAAATCATGTTCTCAGGTCAGTGAAGGACCAGGTACAGAGAGCGGGAACATGTGCACCGTCTCTTCCTGAACCGCAGCTAACGAGTGCTGAGCGGGAGCAGCTCCTGGACCAGGTGGCCAACGTTATCAGAGTCATCGGCTACTCTCGATCGAGAGCCGAGATTCAACGAGTTAGTATCGATATCAAAATCTCTTTTATGCGAGAGTATTACTGTATGTAATAATTATGGAAGATAGCTTCTGAGTAAAAATATTAATGTTAAAGTTATGTAGCTTAAAAAATAAAGTAGTGAGAATTAAAGAGATAGCTCACCTAACAATAAAACCGGTATAATGAAAAAGCAAATCTGTTTTATTAAAGATGTGTTTAATTTCAGCATGGTTGATGGGTTTGCACATGTGGTGGACAGACAAGAGTTTCCAGATGCTTGTAGACAAAGTGTTTGTTGATGACATCACCTGGGGGAAAATTGTTACTCTGATCTGTGTTGTTGGGAAATCCATTGCAAAGGTATGCAGTGCTTTCCTTATTTTACCTGCTTTCATTTGTTTGTGTGTGTTTCTATATAGGATTAAAAAATGCAGTACAAATTTAAATTATGAGGTACAGGATACATTCAAACCAGCTCACTTCCTACACATTTCACAATAAATGTGTAATGCCAACATTCTTTTGTAGGGTTTCAGTGCCCAAACCTAAGTTTTAATGCTGTAAGGTTGGACTTTAACTCATCTGTGCTTGTTTTTGGTTTTGCATGGATAGATTCTTGCTGATTTTGTCTCAGGCGTTGTGTCTTGGACACTGGATTACTTCAGGGATAACCTACTGAACTGCATCTGCAGTAGGGGAGGATGGGTATGATATGATAAACATGACAGCACTTGTACCAACACAGCATATCATCTATAAGACGCATCAGTAATAGTCACTCTTTTAAATACCTGCAGATCAACAGTATCTCTTCCTTGGCTCGTTACTCCTTTGAGCGAGATTGTGGTTCCTCATCTAGCCTGAACTCCCTCTCCTGTGGAGTCTTCTTCATCAGTGGAGTACTGCTGGGGGGCCTCATCGTCTGGAGACTAAACAGAGGTGCCTGAGGACGGTCAGTGGACTGATGAAGTGAGAAAAGGAGAAATGCTGGGATTTACACATGCAACGGACCAAAAATAAAGATGTTTTGACCGAGTAAGAGAAGGCTGATTGACAATATCATGCAGAGTAAAAAAGTGTAAAATATTATAATGTATAATGCACGAACAGACAGGAATTACAGACTTTTTTTTTGGCATGTCTCAGTCCATGTGAGTGTGGAGGGATAAAATAAATCCAAAATGGGGAGTATAGCAATAACTAGCAGGACTTGAAATGTCATAGGTGCTGTGCCAAGACTGTTCTACCTCGTCTATAAAATTTATATTATAAATTTATAAATAGCCTTGTAACTGTAGACTGAATGACAATGCACTAAAAATACGATGTACAAAAATTGTATTGTTACATTTCAAATGTAATTGTTTCAGCTTTTCCAATAATGTAGTAGATTATGAAAGACCAATGCAAAAGGCCTACATTAAATACAGTCCTTCCCACAAACCCATGACAGTACATGACATGTAAAGGAAAATCATTATTAAAAATATTTAGATGTTTAAGTAGCATGTAAAGCAGGGGTGTCAAACTCAGTTCCTGGAGGGCCGCAGCCCTGAGTCTCTGGTATACGACATTTATTGCAATTACCTGATTCATGTTTACCAATAATAAATAATGATTGATTAAGAGCTGTGTGACCAATACGGAGTCTAGATGTTATTGTGTCCTCCTTCCTACGTCCAAAGATTTTCCTTCCATTTCCAACTTGTTTTTGAATGTTGTATAGATGCCGACCCTTTATGTCCCTATCCCACATCTTTTGCCATTTCCTAATCATAGCCCCTCTGATTATTCCTTTCATTTCTGCTTTACTAAGTGATATGTTTATATCTATATCGGTTTGTTTTAATGCCTTCTTGGCCATTTGATCAGCTTCCTCATTTCCCTCTATCCCAACATGTGCCGGTACCCATAAAAATGACATACTTAATCTATATTCGTGAATTTTGAACATACTTTGTAGGATATCATATAATAGGTCTTGTCTAAATGTAGACTTGCCACTTAATAAACTTAAGACAGAATAAGAGTCTGAGCAAATAACTGTTCTTAATGGCTGTATTTCCTCGACGCAATTAAGAGCTATCAGAATGGCTATCATTTCTGCTGAATAAACTGATAAAGGATTACTTGTCCTTTTTGCAATTTTAATCTTAAAATGAGGAATGCATATAGAAACTGATGTATTTCCTGAAACAGGATCTTTGGATCCATCTGTAAATATTTAAATTTCCTGACTATAATTTTGATCCATGTATATTTGTGCAATCTCATTCTTGGAAACATAACCCTTTTTATTATTAATTTCTTCCAAAATCTGATGGTCTACTATAGGTGTTGGAAATAACCATGGAGGTATTATGTGAATTTCCA